GTCCTGCTCAGTCTTCTAAACTCTTAGTGCTTTCTCCAGGGGAGATGACAGAAAACAGGCTTGGAAAGTTTATCTAAGAGACTGAGGTGCCAAACGGCTTAGCAGGGACAACGGTTAAACTTAACTTTTCGCACAAATAAAGTGGATGGCTGAAGTGTCTCACCTCGTGTGGAGGTGCGGTGGGAGGGCGGCCGCACCGGCCCCCCACGGCTGGGGGTCCCGGCAGCCTCGCCGTGCCGCTGCTGGGAGGACGAGGAACGGAGGCGTGAAGAGCGGGGCTGGCGGGCAACAACCTGCTCCTCTGCAGGAGCAGCCCTCCCGCACCAGCACTGCCCGCAGAGAGCGGGGCAGCCGCCGGCCCGGGCAGCGCCGTGCCCTCGGGAGCAGCGGCACGCCGGCACGCCACGAGAGGAAACCCGGGATAGCTCTGCACCTTCCCACTAAGGTACTGCTCCGGTTTTGCAATAGCTAGGGGAGAAACAACATTTCTACGCAGTCTAAGCCCGCAGAGCACCGCCTGGCTGTCACAAAACCCCTAGAAATCCATGGCCGAAGAGAGGTCTGGAGCTAGCATCCTCAGATGACCTGCCCTTACAAATTCCTAGGGCTCTGGCTATTTATAAGTGTCCCGATAAGGCTAGAGTTCAAGAACGCACTAATGTTTATAACAACAGAGCCAAGTCGCCCTCTCGGGCATCTTCCTCATGCCAGGGAATTCAGAGAGGGCATCTGCTACATGAGGATGGTCGAAAATGGCCCCCAAAATAACTTGTTGCAACAATATGCATTAACTCCTGGAAGCCCCTAATTGCTGCGGTAAAGCTGGGCTGCTGAGACAAATGAAACTCACCTTACCCAGGAGCTGTACTGTGGGGGGAAGAGCTGCAGGATCAGAGGTCCATATAACCCAGTGTAGAGACCTAACATGACGGTGGTCTGCCATGAGAGCTCCTGCATGCTCAGGATCGCAAACCACAGCTCTAACTCTTGCCCTTCTCTTTATTGGCTATTAGCATTGCAGAGAAAAATGCCAGCTGCAGTGTGTTCCAGCCTTACTGCTTTGTAACAGCACCTGCATCAGGTTTACTTTTAAAAGTTAGAGTGGTAAATAAAAAAAAAAAAAAAAAAAAAAATGCCACCTAGTGGCAAAGGAATTTATTTTAGGGAGATGCTGATGTGAGCATGGCTTGCTGTGTTAATGATAGTTTTTCAAATGTATTTTCATTTAACAAACTCTCAGCTAAGCAGTATTTGGAAGGTATGGATTTTGAGAACGCTTTTGGCTATGTCCCAAGGTATTTACAGCATGTAAGTATTCACAAAACTGACACATTTCCTTCTTACGGATCTTATGGAAAAGGTCTTAAAGATGCTTCTGCCAGCCTGGACTAGTGTTTCATGGGATATAAAATGAATTAAGAATTAGGAAGATGTGCCTCCCAGCCTGAAAGGCCTCTTTGAATTTAAATGCTAGGAGTCCTAATCAGTAGGAAAAAGAGGCTAGCTGTGGCTCATTTATGTAAGAAAAAATATAAACCAAGCGATTTTTTCCTAAATCTTCCTTTAATAACTGAAGCATGCTTCCTCCTGGATGTTCCTTCATGCTCCCTGGGCTGCCACGCCAACCTTCTCCGCGTCTGCAGCGTGAGGAGCAGCCGCACAGGCCCCGTCCCAGGCTTCAGCCTGCAAAGGGGGGACCCTTCGGTGAGCTGGAGGGCTGAGAATGGCTGTCTGGCAGGCGAACCTCGTGCAATGCAGCATTGGAAAGATACAGAGAACCTTCTGTCTTGAGAAGAGGACGAAGGAGCAAACATTTTGTTTCTACCTCTTTATGCTGTATTGGTGGGGAGAGGGTGACACTGCAGCCGGTGACAGTGGCCATCTTTGTCGAGGGCACTGAACTTGAAAAAAGGGGCAAGAATGAACTAAAAATATCAGAGTTGGACACCAAGTCTTGCAATGAGAAACTCCAGAATTTCAAGATTGAAAAGTGACTTGCTTACCATGTAGGAGAAATTCATAGCGGCTACTGAGTTACTACAAAGTCAGCTTCTGAGGGCTTGTGTCATCTAGCAGAAAAAAAAAAAAAAAAACAAAAACCAAAAACCAAAAAGAATTGATGATGCCAGCCAGTGTTGTGTTACTAACAAGGCATGACATTTAATTACAAGGAAATTAGCCATTGGAGCAAAATACAAAGAGGGGTGCTGAAGCCTGTCTCCTGAAGTCTTCAAATAAATACTAGATACCTTCCTGGAAGTTAGAGCTTGGGCAGTTTATTTGTGGTATAAGACAATATGAGAGGAGGTTAGGCCAGATGATCTGATGGTGCCTTCTAGTCTTGAAATCTGGGAATGAAGTCATATCTGTCAATAAAGTCTTGGTGCTCAGGAGCGTAGTTTGGTATTAGGAGCCTAATTTAGGAACAAAGTGTGAAGAACATGTGTTAAAGGATGAGCAATAAGGATAAGAGCAGTCATAGCCAGCCCTGTGATTGCTGCAGGACTCGATATATTATGCAAGTCTGAAGTCACGGGTAGATAGGAGGTGTTGAAATGTGTTTCTTTTCTGCATGCTTAGACAGCTTCTGTAGAAATAGTTACAAAGTGAGAAGGCTGTATCCCAAAACTCCCTTGCAGCCTTCTGGTTGAGGTGTGGCTTATTTCTAAATGTACTTGACCAACATCAGCAGAATCAGGCTACCTGTGTGTAGGTGGCCTTTCAATTTATAAAGGGGACTTATAAGAAAGATGGAGAGAGACTCTTTACCAAGGCCTGTAGTGACAGGACAAGGGGTTTTAAACTGCAAGAGGGTAGATTTATATTGGACATAAGTATGACATTTTTTATGATGAGAGTGGTGAAACACTGGAACAGGTTACCCACAGAAATCGTGGATGCTTCATCCCCAGAAGTGTTCAAAATCAGGTTGGATGGGGCTTTGAGTAACACGATCTAGTGAAATATGTCCCTGTCCATGGCAAGGGAGTTGGACTAAATGACCTTTAAAGGTCCCTTCCAACCAAAACCATTCCATGGTTGCATTGCTCTATACTGACCCAGATACACACCAATCCCATAAAGCTTAAAATTTATTATCAGCTGTCATTTCAGTGCTAGCTGAGTGCTGAAAACATGCCAGAAGCAGCTTGTTTCTTGCACCAAAGTTAAATCACCAAGCTGGTTATGGCCAAGTCAAACTGATCTTCAACCATTTGCTGGGACTAAAGGAGCTGTTTCACAGCAGTGATGATTTTGGGAAGGTGCTTGCAGTGAGCTGCCCTAAGGGGCTGTGTTCACTCGATGGGAGGCTGAGGTGCTGCTGACTTCACCAGCCTGGTCCAAACCACATCAAATCGATGCAGAGAGCTGCTCTGACCCTTTTGAATGCAAGGACAGGGCTGGTTTTGCTCCTTTCCAGAGAGTGCCTCCAGCTGGGAGGAGAAGAGCAAGGGGTGGTGGAGCTGGGGGTCTCCCCCAGCTGTGGTGCTCCCAGATATTGACTCGATGTTTTGTAACTTGTGCCTTCTGATTCACCACCTTCATACAATGAATGTAAATCTTCAAAGCAGGGCTGGCTGTCTGCAGGGTGAAAATAAAGGACTGGCTTTGTTTTCTTTAGGCGTGAGTGTTCCCAGGGTAATATCCCCATTGCAGCAGAGGATGGGAGCCCTCGGCACTGGGGACCCCTTGGCTGCCACGGGCATGTTGTCCCAGCAGAGTGGGGTCCCGTGGGGGCCAGGGTCCCCCTGTGCGACAGTGAACAACTGCATTTCTCAACCAGGCTAATGGCAGGGGGTGACACCCCATTCTGAGGGGTTTCAAGCCCATAGGCTGCCCACCCTCTCCCCTGACTGGTTAGTTAACATCAGAGGTTTGTTTCTGCACCAGCACAACCTGAAGCAGTAGGTTCCCCACCAGGAAAATCTGGGGCAGGGGAGTGCACCACAAAAAGAGGTGGTATCCCTCCTCCCCGCAGCCCTGGGGGCTCATGAAGCCTGAACCAGGCGGCGCTCGCTGGAGGGACGGCCTGCCCAGGGGGCTCGCAAGTGCAAGCATCAGGTGTGTTGTCTTGCTACAGGCTTTTCTGCAGTGAAAGCTAATGCTGCTTCCCGCAGGAGTGCAAGCCCAAGTGCTGGGGCCAGGGCAGCTAATGCAATACCTTGGCAAGGCTGTCCCTTGGTGTCACCCCCCCCCCCCCCCGCAACCTGCTGATCCTGCTGGTCCCCGTGCTCAGGGAGAGCGAGGGCGCTGGCTATGCGAGGTCCCACTTTGGACCTTAAATTTTTCATTAATGTTACCTTGAAGAAATTATATTGACAATTCTCTTCCTCTGCCAGTGTGAAAAATGTTTTCTTGGAGCTATCGATTCCTACAGGAGGAAATGCTTTAGTCATGCCCTTCTCTGTTAGTAAGCGCTCTGCCATAGTCCCAGTGTCTTCTAAGGAAAAGCTCTCTGTCCTTCAACCATGGCTCCTTTCAGCTGGGCAACCTCTGCAAGAACCAAACCAAGGGGACAAACAGCACAGCTTGTTTTTTCAGGAGCAGGCTCTACCTCTTGAGGTGTTTATTATCAAGGTTTTCTTCCTGGAAATATCCTACAGCTCAAATGGAAGTGGTAGGGTTGAGAGAACTGTCCCTATAGAAATGTGACTGATCATAAATGGTGCCTTTCAGCCTTTAAGATCCGTGAGATTGTGCACAACAGCAATACTCACCCTGAACCACACTATCTCCAGCCGTGCCTTTGGTACCCAGCAAGTGACCACAGCCAAGAGTGCCCCGAAATCATCTTTGTGTTTTACTGCTGGCACCTCCCTTTTTGCCCACCAAACCCTTTCAAAATGAGGCTCACACACATCTGCTCAGACTACTGTCTTTTATTTTGGAAGAGGCCTGAGGAGCTGCTGGTGAATTGTTAGTGGGGCAGACCTAAAGCTGATGGGGAGGAGGGATGCAGCAGAGGAACAACTGTGCCCAGCGCTGCTCCCTGCTGCAGCTCAGCGGCTCAGGAGACAAGGGTAGCAGTTGCATGCTGTTTCAATCTTCAGGACTCTACTGGGGCCCAGCGAGTATGTCACCTCTTCCTCACTCACCCCCGGCGGCAGGCTGATTTCCTTCGTGATGCTTCTGTAGTTATACTCCTTCCCTTTTGCAGTGGTGTGCTCCTCCCTGTGCTCCGCTAACACCTTCACCTTCCCATCTTTCACAGTTACAGTGACTTCCTTGGGGTCATAATCCTTCATGTCCATCAAAGCCAAAAGCTTGTGGTCATGGGGGCAGTTCAACATCCTGTTAAGTCTTCTCTGCATGCTGGAATAAAAACAAGAGGAGAGTCTTTCAGTCCAACTCACAGAGGAATGGGTGGACCCCCTTAAGGACAAAGGCAGTAAATAGGAAACTATTGGATCCGTCTCCATGCTGATGCACAGCACTTGAAATGGTGTCTGCACCATCAGAAAGAGCTCCCGCCTGCACGCCACAGCGGTCAGGAGCGTTTCAGTGTCCCCTCTTGGGATGGGGCAATTATGGAGCTGAAAAGTTCTTTCACCTAAATACAGAGAAGCCAGTGCTCCTCTTTCACAGGTACCTATGCCCACAAAGCCATACGTGTCCATCTTACGCCTTGTCCTACATTCTAAATGGGTAGTTACAATAGATCACATTTTCCAGTTAGGAGTTTTCTTTAAAGCAATCAGTGGATAGGAGACATACCCCAAAATGCCCCTTCAGAGCAGGGCTGAAGGCTCACTGAGCCACTAAAAGAATTTCTAATACTGTCAAACAAGACTATGCTCAGCCAGAGGGCTGGCTCTTATTCAAACCATTTGCAAAGTAGACAATGGAGGGGTCACCTCAGTTATAATAGCTCAATTGGACACAAGACACCAAATTAAAAAGATAATGAGCATGATAGAAGAGGAAACAGGGTAAGCAATGAGGGAACAGGCATGACCACTATGGTGAGAAGTCCATAACAAGTGGTTCATTAGCAAGGTACACCCATTTCAGCAATCCTACTTAAAGCCCGTAATGATTCAACCTGCTGTGGTGATTTTGGGATGTGTTTTCTGGGCTTGCTGTCTCCTCCAGCTGCCCCTTTGGTCTTTTTTTATATTTCTGGTCAGAGGACAATAAATGTGCTGAGAAGAACTGGCCCTTCCCAGTATTTTTTGGTGGGAAGGGGATGGCTGAATGCCCCAGTGCAATAGGCTGAAATCCTGCTGTGGTGTGGTCTCAGATGGCAGTGGTATGGACTCGTGTTCAAACCAGCAAGTTGTCCTGAGTGTGGCAGGGCCAGGGAGCCTGGCACTCCGGGAGAGCATGCCCTGGCATCCCATGGCCCATCCTGAGACCCAGCTTCCATTCACACTGAATTTCCCTTCTTTCACTGGGATTTTGGTGTGCAGTGATTCTGCAAGGGGATGCTGCGCCTGCCCAGCTCTGGTACCCAATGCACTCATGAAAATCTGGACACAGACACCAGTCCTATAACACCTGGGGCCTGAAATTTTCCACTTGACAGCTCTTTGTGAACTGCAGCTACTAGGTAAGTTTAAAGTAATCTCACCTCACCCTTAGGTTATGCTCAAGTCAGTGTAAAATTAACCCAGGCATCAGGCTTGTTACTTTGTCCTCTAACTTTATTGCACTCAGTAGATAACACACATGGCACACTGTGGGATGATAGTTCCTCTTCTACAGGTAACAAAAATGTCACATTTTTAATTGCCAAGATGGTGGTCTCATCATCGTTATGTGCAACACAAGAGAACTCAAACAGAAGCCTGAGTTTGGGGCAAAAATACCAGAGAAAATACCAATGCCACAAATGCAGCAAGAGACTCCCACCACTGCTGATGACCAAGGGACTTCTTAGCCCTTGGGGTCTCTCAATGTCTCGTTGTGCCTTAACCCAAATGGTAAGGTTTTATCATTCAGCTACCCCCTTCCTGTAGAGCTACCTTTGGGGTTTGTCTCTACTAGAGTCGCTCTTGAACTCCATTAACAAAATAAAGTCATCACACCAGTGGTCAAAATGGAGATGTAGAAATCCTGACTCTTATTCCTCCTGCTGTACAAGCTGGGAAAATATAGATGCATGTCTGTGGTGCGTCAGTGCCGCACCCCCCTGCATACGGGCACATTTTGGCTACTGATGAAGAAAATGACGCATTTACCAGTCTTAAACTGAATTTATGTCAAAAATGGTCTTTGTTCCACAGCTGGACAGCTTTAGATCTAATTGTGTACCTTACTTTAGACGCAGTTTGTGAGATGGTTAGTGTCCTTTGCTCCTGACACCGATGCCAAACCTCCCCTCATCCCGCCCAAAAGGGTGCTGATGCCTGTAGAAAGCGGGCAAATATCTGTTACCTGCCCAGTCCTCGCTCCACATCCACCCTTGCGGTGAGGGCCCTCCTCTCCCAGGGGCGGGGGTCGGGCTGGCACAGGCAGCAGGGGTGCGGGGCCGGGCTGCGCGGGCGGGATGCAGACAGCTCCTTGCGGAGCTGCTGCAGGTGCAGGTCCAGCAGCCGCATCTGCCTCTGCATCTCTCTCTCCGCCTGCCTCAAATCCTGCTCGGCATCTTCCAGAAGGCGATCGTGCAACAACGGCATCGTTGTCCTGCAAAGCTCATCAGGGCGCGATTGCGGCCGCGGCAGCCTGCACCCGTGGAGGAGAGGGAAAAACTGCCTCGAGAGTTTTGTCTGGAGGTGAGCGTGTGAGAAGAGCCGCAGGCGTTCTTGCAGCCTTCCAGCGGGCACCTTCTGACATCACGGGTCGGCTGACACGTCACAGCTCCACAGTTGCCGTGGGAAGCGCAGCCCAGGTCCGTGCACAACCGCACCCCCTCTGCTGCAGCTCCCACCCGTGGACCAGGGGAGCCCATGGTGGGGGGACGTGAGCAATGGCCGCGCAGTGGAGCCACGGACCATCGGGAGCATGACTTGAGTGTGGTTTCATGCAAAGCATTGCTTCAGCGTGGCTGTCCACACTGTCCCCCTCTCTCCCGCCCTGGCACATCCGTGCAGAGGGAACACAAGCCACCCCCTTTCACTCCCAGGCAGAAATCCCCAGGGACAAAGCCCAGGTCTCCACTCAGGCTTTTAAGCTTGGTCTTCTCTTGAAACTCGTGGGGATTCCCATTCCCAGGTCCTGACCACTGCTGCCCTGGGAGAAGGGAAACGCGCACCGAGCACTGCAAAGCCACAGCTCCCTGCAGCCTTCCCCCCATCACTGCTTTTGCTGCTGTTCACCCCAGCCCTAAACAAAAGGTGTAAATTAAGGAGAGCTGCAATTGCTCTTTATGTTTTTCCTCTTTTTCCACGTGCTTTGCACAAGGTGCTGGGTGTGTGATGCCCACATACATTTTTCGCTGACGCCCAGCGTGGCCGGCCATGGCATTAGGCAAAGGCGACCAGAAGCCTTGGCCTGAATAGGTGTCAGGATAGTTTGCAGGGTGCTGGCACCTCCGGGGGCACCACCAGCTCCCCCAGAGAGTGCCAGGGAAAGGAGAGGTTCTCACAGCAACTCCTGCACAGCTTCTTCCCAGAGGAGCACCATGCCTCCCCATCCCGCTGGCTCTCTCCTGCCGGGGTTTTCTCCAGTGGCTACAAGTTTCAGATGTGACTCCAAACCTGCTTAGTCCCATCAGGAACTTCTCCTCCATCTGTTAGCTCTCTGCATTTTTTTTTTTTTTTTGATAGGAAAGACATAACAAATGGTTAAAAATGTCCAGAAATAGGAGGTTCTCTTTGCATCCTTTACTGACAGCTGCAGTTAAGGTGCTTCTAGGAACACTTTGAGAGCATGCGCCTTCAAAAATATTTATGTCCCTGCTCTCACACTATATTAAGCTAAGAAAAGCAGACCCAGGTCTTTGCTTGTCCCCTTACAGATGTTACTCCACACATGCCCATGCATCAGAACAAGGTGCTGCTTTGGCAAGAGTGAGTGACATGAGAATTTTGGTTGATCCAAGACAGCCAAAAGGATGCTGCATCCCACAGTTATTTTACAGAGGAGGAGACAGGGCACATGAGCTGCACGCATGCAAGGCACTGCTGCAAGTGCTTATCTGAGCTGACAGTTTTACCTTTGCAGATCCTGTGTGTGCTGGGATCTGTTGCCTGCTCACTCAATGAGCTTGGTCAGCGGTGCCTGAGTCATCAGATCCTGCCTTGAGGACTTCTGGAGCCATCGTGTCCTGTCAGGCTGTTGCATCAGTTTTTCTTGAGAAAGACCCACATGGGTTTCAGTGTCAGTGATGCTCACAGCATGGATGGATTGGCCTGGCTCCCTGCAAGGCACCTGTGGTGTACTTTAATCACAAGCAGCATTGACACCAAAACCTCCTGGGTCTAACACTGCTGGAAAAAATATGAGAAGGCTGAAGGAGGGGGGAGCATTTTGTATTTTGGGGAAATATGTTTTTTAAGGGCTTGTAGTGGCTCGATTATCAGTGGGAACTGTACAATCATAGACTGGTTTGGGTTGGAAGGGACCTTAAAGACCATCTAGTTCCAACCCCCCTGCCATGGGCAGGGACACCTTCCACCAGCCCAGGTTGCTCAAAGCCCCGTCCAGCCTGGCCTGGAACCCTTCCAGGGAGGGGGCAGCCACAGCTGCTCTGGGCACCCTGGGCCAGTGTCTCACCACCCCCACGGTGGACAATTCTCCCCAGACTCCAGGCTGAACAACCCCAACTCTCTCAGTCTGTCCTCACAGGGGAGGTGCTCCAGCCCCCCGATCATTTTCGTGGCCTCCTCTGGACCATGTCCTTTTCATGCTGGGGGACCCAGAGTTGGACACAGTACCGCAGGTGGGGTCTCACAGGAGCGGAGTAGAGGGGGAGAACCACCTACCTCTCTGCATAATGCCTGTATATTTAAGAGAGCAGAAGACCCCCTGGGAGCCTGGGAGCTGCTCTACCCTGATGGCACCTTCCCATGGAGAAAGTGCCTTCCACAGTGTCCTGTTTTGGGCTGAAATAGAGTTAATATTCCTTTTTGGGAACTAGAATAGTGCTGTGTTTTGGATTTAGCATTGGGTTTGGAATGAGAAGAATGTTGATGGCACACTGATGTTTTCAGCTGCTGCTGAGATTTCAAGGACTCTCCAACTCCCCATGTCCTGCCCGTGCGCAAGGGCACAGGGAGCAGGGAGGGAGCATGGACAGAGCACCAGACCCAAACTGGCCAATGAAATATTCCATATTGTGTAACGTCATGCTCAGTATATAGAGGAGGGGTGGTTGGGAAGGGGCTCTCTCTCTCGCTCTCTCTCTCGCGTCTGGGATTGCGATTGCGGGATCTTGGTATTTCGGGATCGCCAGCCGGGAACAGGCTGGGTATTGGTCAGCGAGTGGTGAGCAATTACACTGTGCATTGCCTGTTTATATTTTCTATTACTGTCATTGTTCTCATTTTATTACCATTATTAAACTGTTTCTATCTCAACTTGCCAGTCTCCCTTTACTCCTCCAATTCCCTCCCCCATTCCCAGGTTTAGGGGGGGAAAGGGTGGGGGATCGGCTGCGGGGTGGTTGGCTGCCAACCAGGCTCAAACCATAACACACAGTTACTAGCTGTATCCAAAAGCCCAAGTAGCCCCAGACAAGAAAATATCCCCTGCAGCCTCCAAGGAGGCAAATCCGGGCTGGCGCTGGGGGCGGCTCCCGCGGGGCTGAGGGAGCCAGACCTGCCGGCGGCTGAGCGGGTAGTGCAGGAGGGGGACCCCAAGAACCCCAGAGGGTAGCAGGTCACATCTCGGGTTGCACAAAAATACATGAGGCTTCCTGCTGGACATCGCTTCCGTTCAAACATTGATGTATCCTGTGCAGGAATAAATTAAAACATTCAGATAACTTTATATATCTATTTATGTATACCAGTAACGAACAACTTTGTTAAAAGCCAAATGCTTAATACATACTTGCAAAGTAAAACTTCTTAACGATGCCCAATTCCCAGCAATGATACTCACCATCAGCTTCTGTCCCACCATCTCTGATAAGTGCTGTAGCCCCAGCCATGAACCATATTCCCTCAGAGTGGCCTGTGACACAAAAGCTAATCCCAGTCTCAGCAGCACCAATACCCTGGCCTCTCAAGCATCTGCAAACTGGTGAGCCGGATGATGTTTTATTCTCCCAAGGCAAAATATGAGTTTGGCTTTTCAATAAATCAAGGGCCAGCTTATTTTATATTGAAGGGTAGTTTCACCCAGAAAAAAAAAAAATTGCTTTATGCCTTATTACTCATAAAAGGCATTACTTTTCCACTCTGAAGACAAATCTTTTATTTAAAAGCTGAATTCAGAGGCTGCCAATGTGTGAAGGGTCCCTCCTGTATGAAGTCTGTGTACCTTTCTGATGGCAGTATTTTGTCTTTAAAACTCTGACATTCTCTAGTCTCTTTGGCTCCATATGAAAGAGCCTTTCAGGAGGTCTCTCTCACATGGTAAGAGCCCAAATCTTTTATTTCACAGAGGAAGTTTTGTTTGCCAAGTCCCATGTGAAGAGACAAGATCTGGAGCGGACCACTCAAACCGAGTATCGAGCTAAATCTTCCTGACAGAGTCCTGGGGGTACGGACTGCAGAAGCCGTTATGAAGCAAAGACACCAAACACAAGGAAATGTGTCTAATTAAAATTTATGCAGGGAAAGCGACAGCTTGAAAACAATTTGAAGTTAAAGCCCCCACTGCATGAAATCAGAAGGTTTGGGGATTCACCACGCATCCCACAGGAGAGCAGGGAGGCTCTGCAGGTGGGGGTGCCTGTAGGGTGCTGCCTCCTTTGAGATGCATCTTTATGCCAAGGGATGTGAGCTTTTCCCTGCAGGCATGCTCACCTAGGGAGTTTGTTCCCAGACCTGGACAGCATCAGCACAGCCTGCAACCTTGAGGACTGAGCAGAGGGACCTGTATGCAAAATAAACTCACAGAGCACCACCACACATCCTGCGAAGGATAAGTAGGTGCCTGTGGACACAAATCAGCCAAGCAGAGATTTTCTGGGCTGCTGCTCTCCTCCTCTGCCCCCTTTCCCATCCCACCATCCCAGGCTGAAGCATGGCATGCAGCACTGCTCCCGGCTTCAAGAACAGTGTGTGCTTTTCCTCGTCTTACCATGTCCCAAAACCTCCTGGGAAATCCTGCAGTGGGATGAAACACCGCGTCAGTGAGTGCCCTCTGTGAAATCAATTAACCCAGGGGTAGCAACGCGAGTTTACAAAGATTTCCCGAAATATGTGTGCAGGGAGCTGCTTGTCCCCAGGGGTGCTGTCACACCAACTGCGTATCTTCACTTACATTTTCAACCAGTGTTTAAAAATCATAAAAACCTACCTGCAGGCAGGACATTCTTTTTCAGTGCTCTGAAAACTGGGCTGTAGTTTTTAAACCAAAAGGAAATACACATCTCTGAAAGCAATTTGTAGCCTTGTTTCCCTTTACTGTGTCAGCTAAGCGAGAACTGTATGCTGGCAGCGTGCTTTTTTCATGCCTCTATGGCTGCTTTTAGTTGAAACCCCCACATTTTAAACCTTTGGTCTTCCCCATGCAAATCATTCACTTTGCATTTATTAGGGCCAGATGGGTGGCTAGAACAGACAAC